GGGGATTGTGTACATGGAGTCTGGTGTTAAGGTTAAATTTCAGCTGTTTTAAAATGAAATGAAGGGGTATATATATTCAGGATGTGGCTAAGCAGACCTCAGGTGTCATAAAAAGATCCTGCTCACTGATTTGTATGCAGGGCATGCTCATTTGCAGCCAACAGTTTGCAATGTGAGTGTAGGGACTGCGGATCTTTGCCATTGAAAGTAAAAGTGGTAGATTGCGGCGAAATCCTTGGGAGAGTGACAGAATGTTGATGAAACAATACAAGAGGAGAGAAGCAGGGAAAACTAGAGGGAAAGCAGAGAGAAACCAACATTTATCTGGGTTGTGTTTCTGTATGCAGGGCTGAGGCGGGTTGCAAGCCCCCTGTGAGTTTTTCTAAAAATAACTTGGGGAGGAGGATTCCTTCCTCATGTCTGCTTCGTATCTCTATCTTACCTCCTGTTTTTGCTACTCAATCAAGCATATATAGGTTTGTGTTCATCTGTTTCTACCAAAAATAAAATGGAAGATTTCAGTTTGTCATCTGACCAGACTTGTACAGAACTTAGAGAGTAGAACTGTTGGATCTTCAAAGATTATTCAGCATATATTTTAATTTGTTTACTTTCATTTAATAAAGTCCAATTTATAAATATATGTCTGGTTCTCTTCCAGCTGTGTCCATCATGCGCCACAGTGCCTCTGCTTTTGGATTTGCTGTGAGTCGAGAATAAAGCCTCCACACCAACACATCCACAAACCGAACGGTGGGAATGTCGTGAAGCGCATGCTAAATACTTCTTTATATTTTCTCTCTGCAGTTTGACGCCGTGCTGGACGTGCTGTCCTCCGTCATTGTGCTGTGGCGCTACAGCAACGCGGCGGCTGTGCATTCAGCCCACCGGGAATACATGTGAGTGTTAGTCTGGTCATCCGCCGCATATACCTCGCAAAAGTAAAGTCTGGGAACATTTACACATTTTCTTAAACTAAAAGCAGGAATCTTAGTCTGTAATGTTCGGAGGGATTGAAACATTTTTTTTTAGATGTAGTGAGGTATGATGTGTAGTGTTCTGTTTGGTGCCCAAATGTCCTGAAGCATTGAATGCACCATCCAGGTAGGCGTAAACCTCCTTGACGGGCATTTGTTGGAAAGCTCTTCCTTTCTGCCAGAAGCAGTTCTGAACTATTTTTCTGTGGTAGATTAAACCAAAGTTAATTATTTCACACATTTTTGTTTTTGATTTGAACTAAAAAAATTTTGAAAATTAAATATTTTTCTTCCACTTCCACATTTATTCACTTTATGTCGACCATAAAACCCAATTAAAATACATTAAAGTTTGAGGTCTCAATGTGGAAATGATCAGAGGGGAGGAAGTTTTCTGCAACAGCCTGTCTATGCATAAATGTCGAAACATAAAGAGCAATGAAAATCCTGAAGCCTTGAACTTCATTTCGGATAAAAGCTAAGCTGTCTGTGCTGCTTCCAGAGCAGCAAGTGCTCGATTCACACACCCAGGAGTGAAGATGTGTCACGGTCTCTGAGGAGTATCAAGTAATTGCAGGAGAGACAACAGATGAGATCATATCCTATGGAGGAGGGATGGAAACCTGCACAGAAAAACATTGACTAATAAAGCAATACAGCAGTTAAACTGTTTGATATGCTGCCATCCTGCTACTGTCTAAAAAATGTAGATAAAAATGGACAAAGATGGTAATTATTGGATTTAGTTTAACCTTTTACTTTACCTTGGAAAAAATAAACTAAATAATTCACACTTGCTTTTATGTCATTTTTTTGTGTGCTCAGATTAAGATTTTTATTGAGCCTATTTTAAGATAAATGGATGTTTAATAAGCTTTTCATGATGAAATTAAAGGAAAAATAAAATCACATTTTTGAACGAAATATATCACCAGCTGGATATTTACCTTCAAACTCACAAAAATCAGTTTTTCCATTTATCATTTGATTTGTGTACTAATCCAATCCCAATCCTTTGTGATAAAACACGTAAATTACAAAAGATTAAAGTAAAAAATAACCGATTTATAAAAAGTTATCAAGAGAGATGCTTTAGGGTTTTACAGCGTTATTGGGATTTCAGGTGTAATACGGTGGAAAAAGAGAAGAACTTAATCGTTTAAAACATTTAGTAACTTATTACTGCTACTATATTGGGGTGGCGGTCAGGAAGCGTTTAATTAAATACGAGGGATTGCTGCTCATTAGTTTTATAATTGGTTTAATAAAGTACACTTGTATATTGAAGAAAAATTCATCACTGACATGGAAAAAAACTCAATAAATAGACTGAATGGTTATTGCTTCATTAGTGCAGGTGTGGGCATTTTAAATGGTCAGGTGTAAAATTGAGAAAAAATTAATCAAAGAGATCACATGCTGCTGTTGTTTATGAGATATTAAAGATTATTTTTGAGGTCATCCAGAGGTCAACTATCCCCCCCGTTAAGTTCCGAATTGAATAAAACACGTCTATTCTTCAGCACACATCAGATACTTGATTTTTGCAGTTAAAATTGATGTTTGTGCTGATTTGATTTTTAATATAGAATATTTTTATTGAACCAATGAGGTCACCATCCCAGCAGATGTTTAGTGCTGCGCTCGTTTCCTGATATAAAGTTATTGTATAACATCACATGTCCTTCCTGTGCTGGTATTGATCATAATAGTGGGCATGTTTACCTTATTTAGTGGCTGGAATCATTGTTTAATATTTAGTAAATCATCTGCCTTGGTCTGGACCAGCGTTACCCCTGGCAACCACATCTCATTTCCTGTGAAGGTCTTGCTGGCTGCATTTCACAATAAAAGCACAGGTGAAACTTCACATCACGGCCTGCTGCTAAATTGTTCTCTATGAAAAACTTTTGAATCGCCTTTGGGAGACCATACTTTTGTGGAAAAGCCCCAAAAGCTCTGAAAAAGAAAACAAAAAAAAAAAGTCAATTTTGGTTTATCCAGACTGATTCGGCAGAACTTCCTTGTAACTCTTCCCCCACAGAAAGCACCTAACTTGGCAGTGTGACAGTATAGGACTAAATTAAAACGGCACTCTTCCGGCCTGATTTAACCATTAGGAGCAACATGTATGAAAACATTCGATTTGGGAACCTTTTTTTCCCTCTTATTCCCAGCATCCAATCAATGGCTCACCAATGGCCTGCTCAGCCAATCAGAACCGATCTTAGGAAACCGGTTGCCAAGTCTCACAAGCAAACCAATTTAAAATTACATTTCACTGTTGTTCTGCGTGAACAGATCAACACACTCACTTGACATCAGACCTCCAGAGGTTTTCCTTCCAGCTAATTGGAGAAGTTCTGCAGTGAAGCAGCTCAGCTTCTGATCTAGCTCCCAGTTAACAGGAAGCATCTTCGCAGCCAACTTGTGCAAAGTGTACCCCTGCGGCAACAGATTAAAGAAACTGCGTTCTTTTTCCTCCAGGTTCAGCTCGTTTCTAGACAGCCTCTCTGTTTTTTCTCTGCTGAGGGATCCATGTTATTCTTCTTAATTTGCTGACCTGTCTGTGCCTCGTGAAAGGGATACTTGAACAGTGAAGCCAAGAGGCTGAGTGGTTACCACGGTAACATACTTGAGGTCTGGGAGCAGTAGATGAGTTATTTTTCTTTATCTATGTTGAAATAAAACCTGGAGGTCTTACGAAACAATCGCCCTTTGTTCACAACCCATTCTATGCTGCTTTTCTGCTTTGAGTGATGAAATGTGATCGGATCCAATCGGACCGGGTGTTTGGCTGAAAGCCTTCACTCGTGGTGTCTGCTGCAGAGGAATCAGAAGCAGAGGAGTCATATTTTCATTAAGCGCAGGAAGCAACAGGGAGCCAGGTAGCAGGAAAGCTCAGCTCTGTGTGTGTTTGTCCTGCTGCAGACTTCCCAAAGGGATGCTGGGTGTTGCCTTGGTTACAGCATCCAGTCATAACCCAGGACTCCGAGTGTCGCCGGAGTGCAGCCTTCAGACACTGAGCGCATTCGCCGTGGAAACCATGCATGACCAGGACATATGCTCCATCTGGCTTCGGTTTCCCTCTAGATTTGGTTAATTGGATGAAGGTTGTTAAAGGACATCTGCTGGTTCTCAGTCAATACACATCTATACCCCCTATAGCACTGGAAGAAAGCTGAATGGCTGTCTTTAGAATTTAGACATCCAAGCCCCTGACCTGTTTGTTTCCTTTCATTCCTTTGATACTAATTATGCTGGTTTTAGTTTAGCGCAGAGGTCTGAAAGCTGCAGCAACAAAGCTGCATGTGACTCTTTGGAGCCTTTAAAATGGCTCTTAATGGAGGCTAAAGAACCCACTAACATACTACATTAACAAATACCAACCTTTTTTTTATAAAGAATGTTTTCTTCACTACATAGTGACGTTGAAAGAACCAGCATTTTTCTTTTAATTAGCATGAAAATGTGTTATATATTTATTTTTTTATTGGAATATTACCCCAAAGAATAAAATCCATGTTTCCTCTTCATGAATATGAATCATTTTATGTTTTTCCTTATTTTAAAAGCTAAGAATATGAATAAACTCTGGGTTGTTAAAAAGAATAGAGGAGGATTTTCACGACTTTTTGAAAAGACTCTCCACTATTTAAAAAAAAAAAAACTGTTCCCGAGAGGGAACGCCTATTAAACGCTTGCGAGAGTGTGCAGAAGCCCATTTCTCCTCGTGCACGCTCGTTTAAAAGTTGCTCGTTCAAGCTAACTTTCCAAAAGAAGATTTGCAATTTCTTCACCATGTCAGATGAAAATGGGGATGAGCACATAGGGCGGCCTTACGTAAACATAGCACCAGAATGATTGACAATTAGGAGGATGAATTATTTTGATGATCCATCCTGAAATATCTTTAAGACAGCAACATAATTCCTATGTCAATTCTTGTGAATAAACACTAATAGCTAGTGTCTCTTTAGCTATGAAAGGTTGTTTACCCTTGGCTTAGAGCATCAAAGTAAGGTTTGTTTCCCTCTCTTTCACAGAGCCTGTGTGATCCTGGGCGTGATCTTCATCCTGTCTTCCATGTGCATCATGGGAAAAGCCATCCATGACCTGGCCACCAAGCTCCTGCCTGAAGTGGTGAGAATTTTAATTAAATATTCTACACAAAAATGCATCAGGAAATCATTAAAAAAAAACAATTTTACTGCAATATACTGGTTATCGAAAGGCTGCAGCATGTGAGCTCAACATTTAAATTGAAACATGCAGCATTAGAATACGTGATAGTGACAGTCACTCCCATAAACAGGATCACCTGACATCGCTATGCTGGAACCATAATCCGATTTTTTACTGGAATCAGTGGTCATGTCTGCAGCTATCCAGGACATGTCCAGCCAGGACGAGGACGCTCCTCTGGTTGTCTGCCAGGGACACAGATTATAGACTTGGAAACAGCCATGCTGAATTTGTGTTTGTGTCTGATAATATCCGTACCTCACATGCAGACAGCCGTGGCACATATCTACAGGATTTACACCGAGCGGACTCTGTGTGTCCTCGTCTGGCCTTTCAGGGCCGGTTTGATCGGACTTTGACCATCAAGTAGCTTAAGTTGGCAGAACCTGCCGAGGATAAGAAATGAAAATGGTGACCAGCAGTTGGTTTAGAAGGTTTCTGCCTGAAGGCTCATTTATAAATCTGTATAAATTTCTTTATGTTTTTGTAAAAAGCCTCTGCAGAGACAGAAACATGTTGATCCCTCATTATTAGGATCGTAGTTGCAGCCTTAAAGTGATTTCCATTCTTATTTTGACCAGATCTTTACCTTTTAATTTTTAACAACGCTTCTCTCCACCCAGCTTAGTCTGTGTGTTTCAGGTAAAGAGATCGTGTGAACAGATGATCGATTTCCTGAAGTGCAGCAGCTGCCGCTTCCTCATTCATGCTCTACCTTTTCTAGACAGGTTAATTATTTATATTTTCATTTGTTAGATAAAGATGCATTGTGGGAAGTCTTTGCTATAATAACCAAATTAAAATTATTGTAGAGGGAGCTTTTATAAAATAATAAAAGGCTCCATTTCGAGATTCAAGCAGGAGAAGAGGAGGCAGCTCGTTTCTAGTTTTCAAGTTTTTATCCCACTAACTGTTGGTGAGGATGAGGTGCGACCATCCTGGCGCTGCTGCTGGATGAAGAATGTCACAGATCTCAGGTGTGAAGACTAGGGAGCTTCAACACCCTGCAAATAGCTTTATCGCCCTGTTGCTAGGCAGTGTTGGTCGCCGTAGAAACCTCTGAGGATCTAAACTGAATATTCAAATAATAATTATAAAATCAGTTGTTGAATCTCGTATATTGCTTTTACCTTTCCTTAAACAAGTTTTTCCTAATTTAAAACCTTGATTTTTTATTTTTTTTGCATCATTCTTCACATTAGATTATAGTTTAGTGTAATGAAGGCTGCATATATTGTTAGAATGGCCTCGTCAAAGTCCAGATTGAAACCTAGATTGGAAAGTAATGTTTACAGCTGTTCTATATCAAGTTGGATTTAATTTGAGGTAAAAACAAGGAAAAATTGGGGAAAAGATCAGCGAGGTCCAAAGCGTGGTTCTGAGGCCAATTTGTGGTCCTGAAAATCATCTGAAAATGCCCCTAAAATTCTAGAATGAATCAACTTGTCATCCCTGTGTTATTTTTTTTAACAACAAAAAGTCTTTATTTTAATCGGTTCCGTTTTCACAGTTGTCCTCTGCAGCAGGTTGGTTCGTAATATAAAATCTCTCAAAAATTGTTAAAATTTTTGTCCATAATGTGAAGGAATTCTATAATATGTGTGAAAACGTTACATTTTGAAAATAAAAACATCGTTATTTAAGTCTTGATTTCCTGTTATTAGAAATCTCTGTGTGTGACTCTGCTTTAATCATGTTTCTATTATTCATGGATCGGCTCGGGGCAAATGGTTCCCGAGCCTTTCTAACTCACCAAGGTCAGAAATTCATTTATTTTTTCCAAATCCTGTATCGATTTATTGGAGCGACTCTGTTTCCCCTCTATTCATCTGCTGTGGCAGAGAAGAAGGGTGATACATGGCGAGCAGAAAAACGTAAACAAAGGCTGACAGATTGTTTTCCTTCTCTCTCTGGCTTTGTAACACGCCAGCTTCTGGTGCAGAGCAGTCAGGGCAGCATCATAGACGCCGCTCAGCCTTCCTCACTCTGCTACTTCTTCATCCTCATGAAATGTTAATGAGGAAAGCAGCTGCTTAAATATGCAGGTTGGAAATGTATGAAGGTGGGACTCTTTGACACCCGACTGCTCCGTTTGTCGTCCTCTGGGCCCAATTAACGTCCCTTAGTGTCCTCAGCAAATCTTCATCACTTTTATAATGGGTTTCAGGGACGGTAGTGACCTACAGGGGGGAGAAATACACTTCCAGGGTTAAAATGCATGAATCCAGACAGATCAGTACCAGAACGCCACGATAAAACAGGGAGAAGCTTTTGGTTAAACAAATGCATCACTAATTTTAGAAAGTTAATTTCATGCTTTGCTTTATTAAAGATATAGGAAAACATTTCAAGCCTTAGTCTTCTAATTGTAATCACTATGGAAAACCCAACACTAATTAAAAAAATAAATGTCTTTATTTGTTGGGCATGGAGAAGATCAGAGCTAATAGAAGCCCAGATGGCTTTGAGTTGACTCCACTTCATCAGCATTGCTGGTTCTGGTTTCAAATAACGCTAGGTTAGTAGAACCAAACGTCCCCTTTTGACCAGATAGGTCCACTTTTTACATTCTGCGGGATTATAAATGTCTGATTTTCTGATCATATGTTTAAATCGATTGGCGCTTTGCACAGAATATTACGGTACTTTGTTGCCTGATGCATTGACGAAATTTTGGTTTCAGAAATGGGCGAAATCCTTTCTTTCTCTTCTTTCTTTCATCTTTTCTCTTTTTTTTTATTCTTTTCCTTTTCTTTTTCTGTTTTTCTGCACTATTTACATTGCAGTGTCCATATAAACTGTAAAACTCCCTGCATAATTATAATAAAGCAATTTATATGCATGAAACAAGTGGAGCAATATGGCAATTGCCATACTGCTACACTTGTGAAAGTAAAATCTGTTGGGCTCCTTTTGGCATCAAGACAATTATTCTTATTGCAACATTGCCAGACAGTACTGTGTTAAAAAAAAAAAAAAAAAACAAGAAAAGAAATGGGGGAAATTTTTCAATATAACTAACTTTACTGTGTTTGACCATCTAATCAGCATCAGATGTTTGTACAGTGAGCTTCTCAGGAGGGACAGCGGTGACGGCCAATCACACAAGAAAAGACAGTAGGGCAATTGGTCCTAGTGCTCGACGAATGTCTGTGTAGTGTAGTGTAACATTGTTTTTGGATGGTAAAATGTGCAGGGACCAAATTGGATGTTTGAAAAAGTGCAGGCAGGGTTCCTACAGCATAAGGCAAGTTAAATTCAAGACTTTTCAAGACTTTTTAATGCCACTTGAAATAAAAAATTTAAGACCAAATTTACAAGAAACACAAGAAAAAAAACCTGCTTGCGAAAACTTAACCCAAAGGTTTATTTTAACATAAACCACTAATGTTTCAAATTTTGAAAAGCTTCCCATACAGGAAGAAAGCTAAAAACACACAAATGACAGATTTTTTTTAACAAATATTTAACTGAATTCACAAACTTTGTTTTAGCAAATCAGTTTTAAAGCCACAACATAACCAGTGCTAAGTCTTTTTTGCAGCTATTTTTCTTTGTATGGTTTTCTTAGTATGTTTGATTTGGTGATAAGTGGAGGCGTTGCAGAGACAAGGGTGGAACTAAACTGAGAAATACCGGCTGTTTCTCGGTTACTTGATTTTGACGCTTTGTGTTTCGTGCTTCGCATGTGCGACTCCACTGCCTTAATTCCCATCGTTCCGAGCTTGAATGACTTCTTGCACAAAATCCACTGAGCCTCATGGATGTTCCCTGGTTTTAGCCATGGAGAAAACTCTTGGCTGGAGACAATTTTGGTTACATTTACACTCATATTTTCCAGACAAAAAGAATCTCCCAAATGTCCCGGCCACAACAACCCTTTCATTGGTTCCGCTATCAGGAACGAACCAATAATGGCAAGTCGTTATTTTTTTTAATAATAAAAAAAAAAAAGTCAATTTTAATGTTTTATTTAGATTACAAAAATAAATCATAATAAAAATAATCCTATTTATGATGTTGTAAAAATTAAGACCTACGAAAGACTGATTTAAGACATTTTAATACCAATTAAGGCCTTAGTTTCATTTTGAAGAATTTAATGCCTTTTAAGACTTTTTAAGGACCTGCGGGAACCCTGGCAGGGGAGAAGATTAGGTCCACGATCTGATGTAATTCTCAAGGGAATGCCTTATGGGAGGGTCTAGCGAGACACACCCACATTCAGGGAGCAGAGCAACCAGCATTGGACACAAAATGCCGAAAGGACAGTGCAGCTTCAAAGATGACAAGTCGCAACAAGGGGGAAGCTGAGTGCACCGTGTGCAAAGCTGGCACACATGTTTCAGAGGCTATTAAAGGTGCAGGAGATCAGAAAGCTCACAATTAAAAAGCTTTGCGAGGTGAGAGCTCCTCTGCAAAGTTGACTTGAGTACTTTGTTAGACCTGGGGAAACAGAGGATGCTGTAAAGAGGTCATTTATTGAAACTGCATTTTTTAATACAGAAGAGGTCGTATCTGGAACATGATCTTATTTAATTTATGTATTTTAAAAGAGAGCTATAATTTTTTTACTGGTTGTTACACATTTATTTTTTACACCAGAAGTTGTTATTATACCATTTAGGTATAGTAAAGCATATGATCATTAACCTCTGAGTAGCCTGTCTGAATCCATCTGGAGGCTGGGCAAAATGTCCTCGTCTTTGGAAATCGAAATCTGGTCACCCGACCCAACGCTCCAGATGTTTTGGTAAAACAGAAACACCACGGTCATTCATCCAGCCTTTGGTACAAACTTCTGCTGGAAGATTAAATCAGCATCTCTATAAAGCAGAAAGAAGTATAAAGTGCTACTTCTTTAAGCATAAAGATGTTAACTTTGCTATTGGACTTCCAGGAAATGAAATTTGAACGTTATCTGTAAAGATAAAGAAATGGATTTTGTTCTACAATCCTCTCCTGACTGGGGTCATCCTTCCACTTAACTTTCTACTAATTCAGCTCTCTAAGGAGCCTTTTTTTTAACATAACTTGTGAGGCTTTGTTAGGCGTCAGCAGATCACCTGTCCAGTCAGCTTATCTTGTCGCCTCTGACCCAGACTGAGACGCTAAGGCGCTCAGGGAAACTTTACAGGTGTTTTTTGTGGATCAGCTGATTAGGATGCGACAGTATTTTTCCAATATTCTATTCTTTGGGTTTTCTTTATCGGTCACTGATAATCATCAAATTTAGAAGAATTTAAGGCATGTTATGGCCTCTGCAGATGAGTAAATATAAAGAAATCTAGGAGGCAGGAGATTTGGATGTTTCCTTGGTTTGTTTATATATTTAAACCTGAATCTGGCTCCTGTAAACGGTCTGAGGCGGTTTATTTTGGTGTTTTAGATGTTTTTTTTTGTGTGTGGTGTATAGTTCCCTTATTGCTAGGT